CATTATGTAGATCATCATAATTACAATAGAGAGGCAATAGAACTAAAACAAGAACTGTCTATTGCGCCTGGAACACCCTAGGTCAGGAAGAGTTGCTCGACCTCCCTTCCCGAGAAGGCGAGCAGAACTCTTGCGTAAGCAGCCCGGATCTGAGCTGGGCACACAATATCTTTTTAACTCAGCTACACGTATTAAAGCACACACATACATAAATAATAACGCTTCATTAAGAAACCTCAACTACTGCAGAGTATTATGAAGTCTATCAGTCCTGACTGAAGCACGCATTCGTTGGCTTTTCTTTTCTCTATTTTTCTTTACTTTGTTATGTTTTTTTTTTTCTATTTTGTTGGCTTCTATTTATAACATAAAATAAATAATACGTGGGCTATTACGTCGTCCGCATATTGCACTGACCACATTTTACCAGTTTTTGTCGCTTTTGACATCTGTTCGGGGTTTTTGTTTCGTTTGCGTTTGATATTTTTATTGTTATTGTTATGGCTTTGAGGAATCGCATTATATTTGTCGTTTCTGACACGAGCCAATCGACTAGATATCTAATTGCAGAAGAGGCATTACAGTTTTCCCGGTTTTCCGCAAATGCCATAACGAAATATAAACACAAAAACTAAATGGAATTGTTTACCACTGAAAAACAGAATACATCAGACGTTCTAGAGGCCATGAGAACTGCATAGAAAGGTGATAACTAGGCAAGACGAATAGCGAGTGGAAACAGATTAATAAGAGGGAGCGAGCGCAGGAGCAAGGCAGTGTATATAAGCGAGATGGAAGATTGCCGGAAAAAAGGCAAAGGAGAGAGTGAGAGAAGGAGAGACAGAGAGAGAGGTATAGAGAGATTAAGAGTAGTGGAGAAAGGGAGAGAGTTTAATAGGAGAGTCGAAAGAGGGATCAAATTGGGGCAGGTGAAAATCAAAGGTATACCAGGTATGTCGGCGTGAAACCTACTTGTATTTCCAACACATACTTATATTTCCTACTCATATTACCAAAAACGACACAAACTCGAATAAGCATTACTTGATTTATTGAGATTCGAGTAGAGGGGCGATACACGTTTAAAAGATAAAATCAAGTATCATTGTCGATATAACTTTTGGTGTCACAATAAATCTTATTTTTTAAAAACGCAGCACTTGAAGATTTGACGAAACATCAAAATATTATTAGATCAAATACTCGCAGCGGAAACTCAAGCCAATTTCTGTCTGTTTTGACTTTTACATGAACTTGTTGTCAAAGTATCTCCCAACAATTTTCGCTTATTATTTTTTGACAACTTTTCGCAAATTGGTTTGTCTTCTCTTTCGTTTTCAACTATGAACTTTTTTATCAGTTTTGGTTGGCATCCCCGAGCAATTAATGGACCATGTATAAACTCAGCAGTTAACTGTCACGGCCGATGTTCGATTAAAATGCAATATAAAAAAGATTGCACACAAGCGATGTGTGCTTCAATTTTTACAACAAGCCCAACAGCAACAGCAACAACAACAACTAAAACAACAAGAACATCAACAACAACAACTAAAGCTTATTGACTAGCTATAAAGGTTCGTGTTCTGGTCCATGTTCTGCATATCAGTTATATTCTGCCAATTATACCTAAGGAATGTACATATGTTATATGGATTTGACTTTTAGCCCAATCTTTGAATGCAAAAAGTAACTTGGTAAAAGTAACTTTCAAAATTTTAAATAAATTTTAAGCTACGCAAAAGCAATTAGATATAAAAAAATGTTACGAGTATGTTGTATCAAATGCTTACTTTTATGTTTTATTTTGAGTTCAAAATCACTCGGACTTTAGAAAAGTGTGCTCCTTTGTGAAGCTTGTAAATAAAATATTACAAAAATCTTAAAGACTGTCTTTTTATTAGTATGCTCCAAAGGAAGGAGGTAAACGTAAACACGACTTTTATAACAGGGTATACTGCTCGTATTCTGCTAATTCTCTATTCTCTTCCCCGCAGGTGCGGGGATCCAGGAATTCCAAACAGAAAACAAAACTGTTTGAAAATATGACGAGCTTTGTCAATTTGTCTGCATTTAAGTCAAATTAAAAATATGTAAGTATATTAAAATAGATGAAGACGAAGTTTCTAGATGTAGAAAAGGTTTATAAAAGAAACCCAAATGGGCTCGAAACGTACCTCTGACCACTTTTGTTGGATTTGCAGACATGTAACAATGAAATACTTCTGTATCCTTTCTTTCTTAATTGTAAATCATATTTTGTTAAGATCTTATAAAAACTTTCTTGCAGCTGCTCAGATTCCATTATGTTCTACAATAATTATATCAATAAGAAAAGCTAAACGCAAACATATTCATAATTCCGGGTATTCTGTAGTCATGCACTCAGTTTTGCAGTGGCAGTTTTCTTATTTGTTCCTTGTTCATTTCCATTTGCGGTGAGTATAAATCTAGTTCTTTTGTGGAGAGCCACTTGAGTTCGGATCGAACTTATCAGATACAAAGGCATTTGTATTTTATAGCAATTGCATTTTTCTCTAACGAGCATTTTAGAAAATATTTCAAAAAGAAAGGCAAAAGAAAATAGACTGAACGGAACAGAACCGAACCGAAAAATCTTATACAAATACGGGCCAAAAATATTCATTTGGTCTTTTTAGATGGCATTTGGTGACGTGCGGAGATCGGCGAACGTCGCGCATAAAAATCTATTTTGATTCAAGGTCCCGTCATCAGTTTTTGTTATAGTTGTACAAATTGTTGAAATTGAGCAAAGAAAAACAAAAAGGGAAATTGACAATATAAACAAGAAGACTCAAACAAATTGTGATAAAAAGTTATGACAATAAAACTGGAAAATTGACTCGATGGATTTTGCCCAAATACTCGAAGCACGTTCTATATAGCAACACTGCTATATTTTTTTTATTGTGCAGCACTGTTTTTAAATTAAAAAGAGGAATGCAGAGAAGATTACTAAAGCAACTCAGCTTTATTTATTAGCTAAACAAAAAATAAGTATGGGAACAAAATGGGCTTAGCCTAGATGCTCGAAACACTTCCTATAGCAACTCTGCTATATTAATTCATTGTGTAACACTATTCTTAAAAGAATGAGCACATTGACAACAAGATGGGCTTAGTCTGTTATAATTACAAATTGTGCAACAGTCTTCTTAAATAAATAAGAAATATGAGAACATAAAGGCAACGCACACCCGAAAATGTAGAGCGACAACAATTGATTATACGTTGCACAAAATGACAACACCAGCCACATTATTGTTCAATTATTCAATTGCACGATGATTTTCAAGTATGTAGTTGTGACTATGTCTATTTATTAAATGCGGGATGAGCTGTCGTTTGTTGTTTCCTTGGCTTATTCAATCTTTATAAGCGCTTCGACTGCCCCTCAGCCCGCACATCTAAGGTCGAAGAAATTGAAAGCATTTGCGTAATTTGAGTTCAACATGAAAGCGTTTGTGTTTTGGGCATTCAGTGCAGAGTATAATGCTCAAGCATTGTGGCAATTCACATACACAAATATACATCAATATACCTATTTGATACACACATATGTGCGTGGCTCTTGTGAGTTGCGTATACGCCATGGTCGCCAATAGAATGTTTTTTGATGGTATTATTAATTTTATTCATGGCAGATTTTAAAAGATCCAGATTTCTTAAGTCCAGCTGCAAGTCCAAAAACAAATTGGTCAGTAGTTCGGTTCGCGGTTCGAAGCAACTGCCTGCCTTTAGGTTCGGTTCGTGAATAAAATGTTCTATATACAGAAGCTGAGGTTTTGTTCCAAACCTTGATTTGTCTTTATCTCTTTTATATTATATTTTGAATACTGCCTTGAGCCTGTGTGTTCTCAGAAGTTTTCATTTTCAAACATTTTCGAAAAATATATATGGTTCGGTTCAAATAAATTGGAATTCGGAGCTTGAACCGATTTAGTTCATAACCGATTTGGAGCCCTGGCACAAGTAAAATATGAACTAATTTCTCTAAACGTTTTTGCACACTGGCTTAAAGAATATCCGACATTTAATAGAGACTCGATCCGTATTTGGTTAGGAAGCTCTTGCATTGATGGGCGTCACTATTGTTGGGTTCGTTTGGAGCAGTGAGTTTCTGGACAAAGATTGATAAATTGATATTTATATATTCTTTGAAACTCTGTGAGAATGATAGGAATACGTTATCTGTAGGTATTGCATTCTTAGCTGCCTTCCAACGGCACAAAGTGAGCACCTTTTGGAGCTCAGATAGATCCTATTCCAAATACTTAACGAGTCACGCAATACGACAACTCCACAGACAAAAGAATTAATTGAAAAATCAAACCAAATTCCGAAATCTAAATTTAGATAATATCATTTTCACTCTCGAATGCTGGCTGATGGCTGCGGGCATACGAAATGTGCCCAAAAAATTGTCACCATTTTGCATGGCAATGTAAATGTGCAATATCAATTGGAATGAAACGCGCTGCGAAGCGCACAGTGTGTGCGATTCCTTGGCATTATTTTAATGGGCTATCGCCGCATCGCATATGTCCGTATAACCATCAGATCTTACGCGCTCTAAACGGCAGGGGGGCATTGGGCATTTCAAATTCGGCTATGCAAATGTAGCGGAAATACCAAAAAATGCCAGATCAGCTGCGTTTCATGTATAAGTGTATGAGGAGTACGAGTACATATGCTATATACCCTATGCATATACACAAGCACAGAGTACAAGTTCGGCTGCTCTTAACTGCCAGTCAAGTGTGTCACTTGAAAGACAACGGACAGCAAGACACACCTGCGTTTTGTGGATACCTATGCCTGTATAGCTATATGCATATGTTTATAATATAGATCTACAGATATTTTTACCCTTTGGCTGTCTCAGCACCTGACTTCAGCTTTAAGCGCTCAATAATGTTGAGCATTATAAATAAATAAATTGAGAAACACTTAATTATGCATAGAACACATGTCATTACCTTGGAATATGTTTGTCGTTGCTCCCAAAAGATTTGTCGTACAGTCTTTAGCACACATATATGCATATATATGTGTATATATTTATATAAATTTTAGCACCACACAATTAACTATATGTACTTATTCATTACAACAACTTGCAACAGAACTTTAACTTTTTTCACTTTAACTTTTCAAATTTACGCTAAAAATATTTGACATAAAAAAAATTTATATAATTTATATAAAATATAAAGAAAAATGGCAAAGAATTTAAATGAAACTATTCACATGGCGGGGTGTTAATATATACAATAAAATCATATAAAAAATGTATAAAAAAAAATATATTATCGAAATGTGTAAAACAAAATTAAATAAAATTAAAGTGTCAACACTTGCGTTTAATACTACCCAAAAATAGAAAACGAAAATAAAAAAAATAAAAAAATTTGCCATAAAGCGATAATAAAAATAACGCGAAAACATAACAATCAAAAAACATATAAAGTATTAAATGGTAGCCCATCAAAAGTATATATGTATATGTGAAAAGTATCAGCAAAGCTAAACGAAATATTATTGATAGTCAAATTTGAAATTGTTTGTTAAATAAAATAATAAAAAAAAAGAAAGAACGAAAAACTGCGGCATAAGGCTCATGCTGATGCAGATGTGTGAGGAGAATTGTGAGGCTCACAAAAAAGCAAAACAATTTCCCAAAGACAAACTCACATTCAAGCGATACTTGTAATGCCAATAAGTTTTTAATCACATCTAAGGAGCATCATGAGCATTATGAAATAGTTGGTTCAAGATATCTCGAAATCAAAAACTTTGTTAACACATAAACTAAATTTGTGACCGATTGTTCCTATGGTATAGGTTATATGATATAGTGATGCGATCCGGCTGAATAACAGACGAACAACATTTTAAAACTCTCTTGTAGAAGGTATAAAAATAATTTAGCACATAACGGACAAATATTCGAAAATTAATAAATAAAATAAATAATTCAAACAATATAAAAATCTGAAAAATCAAAACTTAAAAGTTGAAAATATTTTTCATAAATATCGAAAATTTCGAGGGTTAAAAACTAGTTAATTAAAACAACGGACAAATTTTAGAAAATGAATAAATTTATCAAAAGATATGTAAGCATTTATTAAAACAATATTAAAATCAGAACAAATAAAAACCAAAAAGTTGAAAAAATCTTGCATAAAATACGAAAATTTGGAAAAATATTTACCAAAAATAACGGACAAATATTGGAAAATTCGTAAATGTGGCAAAAGATATTTAAGAAATTATTAAAACAATATCAAATCAGAAAAATAAGCACCAAAAATTTGCTATTTTAAAAAAATTTCGAAAATTTCGAGTGCATAAAAAGATTTTCAAAAATAACGATAAATATTAGATAGAAATTAAAAACAATATTAAAATCGGAAGAAAATAAAATCCAAAAGTTTGAAAATATTTTACATAAATTTCGAAAAATGTGCAATTTTTTATGCAAAAAAAAAAAAAAAATAGATATAGAAATAGATATATCTTATTCACCAAATATGAATATATACATATTGCATTTTTTAAAATACCGTAAATAAACAAAATGAAAATAATGTATGTGTGTAAAAGCCGCCAAATTCAGCTTATTGAATTATTATTATATTTATTTATATTTGCCAATAGACTGCTGCCAACGAAAATCAAATGTGAAACGATCGTTTATTATTAAACATATTGAAGATATTCAGCATTCACACAATATTCAGCACCCACGCAGCACGCGGCTTAAACAAAAACAAAAACAAAGCACAAAACACAACAACAACAAACAAAAAAAACATAACGTTAAACAAAATGATGAAGAGGAAGCAGTTTGAAGAGCACCACGAATTCCGTCGCAGCGCACGTGAAGATCAACGCCAGAGCATCGCGATGAGACTGACTAACACAGCGCAGATCGAATGCCGACACGCAACAGGCACAAGTCCCGCCAGCGACGGGCTGGTCTTTGGGTTTACAGTTGCGAGGGGGGGGGGGCTCGTTATGGCTGCGCACATGGGGCGGGGGTTTGGTGTTGCTTAGGGTAGGCTGGGCAGACAGTGAGCGCGTGGGCAGCTGCCATTTAACGGCTTGATAAATGAATGAAACGCGTCGTACTCGATTTGCGCCAATTGCAGAGAGTGATAAAGACAGCGCGAAACAGAGAGAGAGAGAGACAGAGAGAGAGAGAGAGAGAGAGAGAGAGAGATGAAAAGAACAAAAACGCATCGAAATGCGCAAAAGCTCTTACAGGTGTCAGTGCAAGGGCTGCTTAAATAAAGCTCAAGCAATAAAAGCTGTCGCACAGCTCCTACCAGCAGTTGCCTGCCAAAAGCTCAAAGCTCCAAGTTGCGTTTGCTTAAACGACAAACGCGCCAAAGCTCAAATCCAAAACATGTCGCCAGAGCTCTTATGTCGACATGTGCCTGGAAAATGTGAAAAGCTAAAGCGAGAGCTGGTCAAGCAAAGCACACGACCTGCCCAGCCAGGGCAGCGCTGCTTTCAAAAAGCTCACACAGCTGTCTATGTGTAGAACACTGCGGCAAGGGTAGCTGGCAAAGCTAGTATTGACTTAATTGTTAACTTGGTAAAAAGCACAAAGCTGATACAGCTTATGTTGCCAAAATTTATTTTTTTTTCTGAGTGGAGTAACTTGGAAGTTCAAATTCTTCCTTCTAATTTTAATGATCGTGTCTTTTGTTTCATTCAGGCTTTTGACTTGTCGTCGCCTTTCTGCTTATCGCCTTCTTTTGGCTTATCTCCGCTTTTCGGCTTATCGCCGGCCCCCTTTGGTGGCGTGGCAGCTGCTGGTGTTGCAGCTGGTGGTGCTGCAGCTGGTGGTGCTGCAGCTGGTGGTACTGTTGCAGTTGGTGGCTTATCGGATTTTTTAGCAACACCTTCCCCTGCTGCCGGCTTATTATCGTTTTCAGCATCCTTTTTACCATCATCCGCTGGCTTAGCGCCTTTCTGAACATCACCAGACCCTTCTGGCTTACCCTCTTTGGTTGGCTTTCCTTTGGATTTCTTGGCGTCCTGCTTCTGCTTTGCGTCCAGCTGGGCGGCCATAAGTGCTGCATCACCGACGGGCACATTGTTGATCTCCTCAGGCGGCGTACGCTTGGGCTTGCCAAAGCAAACCTCCGAGATGCGTTTATGGTCGAGCATATAGCCGGAGACGCCGCGTATTTTGGGTTCCATATTTTTTGAATATATATCGGCGACAAGCTCTTCCATACCTACTTCGCGATCGGCCAGCACCTTTTTGGATACCCCATCGATCTCTTTGCGGACCGCAACATCGATTTTCTTGAGCTCCTCCTCATCGGCCAAGCATAGTGCAATTATTTGTTTCCGGAAACTTTCGATAGGATCCCGTTCCGAACGCACCTTTTTGATCTCATCTCGCGAACGATATGATGTGCCCGGATCGGACATTGAGTGTCCCTCGAAGCGGTACGTGTACATCTCCAGAACAATGGGACCATGTTTCTTCACATAATCAATGGCAAATTGTGTAGCACTGCGCACGGCCAGCACCTGGTTGCCATCGACCCAGAGGCCGGGTATATATTGCCCACGCATATAGAAATCTGTCAGGGCAGCATGCCGATCCATGTGAGTGCCCATGCCATAGTGATTATTCTCACAGACGAAGATGCAGGGCAGGCACCACAGTTTGGCCATGTTGAAGGCCTCATACACTTGACCTTGATTGGCCGCACCGTCGCCATAGCACGTTACACAAACGCCGCCATCGCCACGAAAGCGATGAGCCAGCCCAATGCCAGCGCCCAGCGGCACCTGGGCGCCAACAATGCCATTGCCGCCAAAGAAGTTATCGCTATACATATGCATAGAGCCACCCTTCCCGCGACTGCAACCGCCCTTAACGCCGACCAGTTCACCAATTACGCCCAATGGCGGAACGCCCATCAAATGGGACCAGCCATGGGCACGATATGCTGTAATAACGCTATCATTTTTACGGAGTACGGCACACATGCCAACGGCAATGGCCTCCTGGCCAATATATAGATGACAGAAGCCGCGTACGTGCTTCGACTTGTACAAGTTGCCGGAGGCGACCTCAATGCGACGTACCTCCACCATTTGCTTGTACATTTTCAATGCATCTTCACGCGACAGTTCAACATCCGTGGGTGGGCCCTTATCCAGCTCATAGCACTTGAAAGTCTGCGAAGAAGACTGCAGCTCAATGGATGATCATGTTTTTGACCAAATATGCAACTTACGTTTTCCAGCGTCAGCGTTGAGCAGCCCGAACTCAAATGACGTTGCGGCCGCCAAATAAATCGCGCCTTACACTTACCCCCGCAAAAATTATAGAGTAACTGCAATTGCATATAAGACTGACGGCCCTTGGCCGTTCGTTTAGCTGCTGACAGCATTTCTTTAGCTTGTTTTAGCGGATCCAGCTACAGCTTCTGCTAAGCCCCGTAGGTCGCCGTTTGGCCTACCCACTGTCAATTTACAAATATTGCTTATGTATCTTCGAAAGAGTTAAGATATTACCAATTATTTAGTATAATTTTAAAATACCGCCGCATTGAAAGATGTAACAGAATTTCGAAATAAAAATGCCAAAAAAAAAAATAAATAAAACAATAAACACTCTCATGAAACATTTCAGTTAAGGATTGATATTTCAATGTGATCTGCGTTTATAATAAACATATTTTGGTTTTTCTTTTTCTGTCCCAACTATTTCATATAGGTATCATAGAAAAAATTGCATAAAATTGAAGGGGTTTTTTTTTTTGTTTTCATTGATAGCCCATTGATAAGTCTGATACGTCTAAATCTTAATGCACATTTACAGCACATATAATAAACAACAACATTTATCAACGTCGAACTATAATATTATAAAGATCTCATAGTAACAAAAGCAAGAAAAGCTTACGAAAGTTGTAAACCGGGTTACCGAGTAAAACCTGTATATAATCTGCTCCATATATTCTTTTCATTAGCTGCGTTTTTCAATTGCCCAAATAGTTCATAAAATGTCACAACCTGTTTACGTATGTATTTACTTTATATTTCAACAATTTACACCTCGCTTTAACCATATTGAACACGTTCATATAATATCCGTTGCTGTTGCCACTAACCCAGGTTGAGTGATTGACTTTGGGTCTTAAGTGTGTCTTAGGGGGGGTAGGGCAGGGTGTGCATAATTCGTGGTTAGCTACCTTGTGTCTTTGTATCTGTCTGTCTTTGTACTGGTCTGTATTTGTCTGTGTTTGTGTGTGTCTGTGTGTGTCTAAACAAAAATTATTATTCATTCACAATTGCACGCGTTCAAATCGAGTAGTATACGCATTTTATCTACTCGAAAAAACAAAATTTTCTAACATCAACTTTGGGCTTAAGATCTAGAGATTTCGCTTGTTATGCGTGCGTGTGTGTAGGTCTGGCTCATGTGTGTCTGTGTGTGTGTGTGTGTGTGTGTGTATGGGTATATGTATCTTATAGAATCGTTGCATTTAAACTGTTTAATGATTGACACCCTTCCGCTCCTGGATGTGATCAATATTGTAGCCATTGGTGCCGCGCAGTTTGGGCTCCAAGCAATTGGAGTAGACATCGGTCCACAAATGGCTAAGAGCCAGCTCAGTACCGCCCTTGGCTAGGGCGGTAGCTTCATCCACTTCCTTGCGCACCTTCAGATCAATGGCCTGCACAATAATTTGCAATTAGAAAAAAAACGTTGCTTTTCGAAATCTTGACAGCACCGACCTTAACTTCATCGGTGGTAATAAGACCCAGCTCGATGCACAGCTCCTTGAAGGAGGTGATTGGATCACGCTTTTGGCGCACCTCTTGGATTTCCTCGCGCGTACGATACGATGTGCCCGGATCGGACATGGAATGTCCCGAATACCGATAGGTATTCGTCTCCATAACCAGTGGCCCTTGTTCGTTTACATACTTGATAGCAAACTCGGTGGCGCTGCGCACGGCCAGCACATCCATGCCGTCCACCCAAATGCCGGGCAGGGCATCGCCGCGCGTATAGTAGTCCGTATTGCACGAGGCGCGTTCGGAGCTGGTGCCCATGCCTGTCAAGAAATTAATGTCGCCGATTAGATACAGATATATCTATTTGTATATATATGCTGAATATGTGCAAATTTACGAACCATAGTTGTTGTTCTCGCAGACAAAGATGACGGGCAGCTTCCACAGATAGGCCATGTTGTAGGCCTCAAAGACCTGACCCTGATTGGCAGCACCATCACCATAAAGTGCAAGGCACATGCCGCCGTTCCCCTTGTACTTGCAGGCAAGAGCGACGCCGGTGCCAAGCGGCACCTGGGCGCCAACAATACCGTTGCCGCCGAAGAAATTTGGCGAGTACATGTGCATAGAGCCGCCCTTGCCGCGCGCACAACCGCTCTGTACACCTGTCAGCTCGCCAAGCACACCCAAAGGTGGCACGCCCATCAAATAGGTCCAGCCGTGTACACGATATGCCGATATAATATTGTCAACATCCCGCATAGCCGCCTTCATGCCAACGGCGCAGGCCTCCTGACCCGAATATAGATGACAGAAACCGCGAATGATCTTCTCCTTGTACAGATTGCCTGCGGCCGTCTCGATGCGTCTGATTGTCTGCATCTGTGTGTAGTATTTGAGCGCCTCATCCTTTGTAAGCTTCACTGTGGTCTCGGGTCCCTCCTCCAAGCGATGTAGTTTGAAGGGCTATTCCAATTAGACGCACACAGCAGCGACAGAGAAAGGTATACAAAGTGTGCGAGTGAGTGAGAAAATGTCTAAATAAATGTGCGCGGAAGGGAGACAGGTGCCCAATGTTTTCCATGCAAGTGTTGCCATTTTTTATAAATCAGGTATTTTTTAGTATAATTATAATACTATGTGTTCATACAACATTGTTTGAAGCTCTTTCTGTTAATTTGATCTCGTTCTTATTTGAATTCAATTTGTTCTTTCAGCATAGAAACAAATTATTTTATTTAAAATGCACGATACAGAAAAATTGTGCGAGAGAAATGCAGCACTCTTTTTGCATAACCCGCCGATCAGTTTAAAGTGTTGGAGAGCGCAGAGCTGCTGCTGCTGCTGCTGCTGCATGCTGATAAGAAAGTGCGTGTAGCTGCCGCTGCCGACGTCGGTCACGCGCTGCTTGTAAGACAGTGTCAGTTAGTGACCTTGGCGCCGGCAATTCTGATTCTAATCGACGACCAAAACGCGAAAATGCAACTCTGTGCAATCAGGTCATACAAAAATGAACGGACGGACGGACGGACGGACGCACGCACACACACACCCACACACAGACGCATTATGTAATCACTAGCGTTTTCTTTTGGCTAGAAAGGATTAGTTGTTGGTGTATCTCTTAATATACTTACTCGATTCACCTGCACGGTCGCTTCCGTAGCATAATTGTTGGTCTTTGCGACACCGGACTGTGCTGCATTCTGGAATAAACCGAAAAATGACGATGAATAACTGCGTCTGCTGTCAAATCTTAGATGATTTTTAAGTTGTTGCTGCTGCGTTGTCCAGTGGTTGTTGTTTTTGTTGTTGCGGTTGATGCTGTTGTTGTTGCTATTGTTGCTGCTGCTGTTGGTTTGCTTTGTATGTTGTTGTTGGTTTGTATTGGTGACAGTGACAAGAGTTTTGTTAGTGACAGCAACGGCTGCTTTACAGTTACGTACTTTTTGCAATTGTTTTACAATAATTGGCAATTCACTAACGCGCGACAACGTACGCAACATTTCGACGGCTTTCGGCTTGGACTATTCTCTCTCGTTCGCGTAACAGCTGCTGTCCAATGGCCACAAAAAATACGCAATTTTCAACGTCATATGTTACTAAATAAGCCACATTACTTAAAATATACTGCAAAAAGTACCAAATAATTCGACAGCGATATATTCAAAAAGCATGGTCGCACTACATTTGCCCTTGTACCGATTTCTTTCAGCGTCATTTTCAAAGGTATGGTCACACTACATATGCACTTGCACGGATTTCTTGCCAATGATTTATCAAATTTGTTGATCAATATTAATAAACAAGAAACCCCAAAATGACTTCAAAGATTTGTTATTTTTTTTTTGTGTATTTTTTCCCAACTAAAAGCCTCCCTTTTGAAGGAATATGTATATCTCGCTTATTTACTTCAAGACCCACACAAATCAAAGGCGCGATTTTTAAGTTAGCGGTGCAGAATTCTTCGTTATATCATGCTTTATATTGTGTTTACTTTCAAATTCATAACTTGTATACTCTTCATTCGAGAAGATATCAATTTCTTGATGATTATTTTTATAGCACTCCATAAATAAAAGACTTACATGGTTTTCAAGAAGTACTTTTATTTCACATTAAAGATTCCATTTGGTTTTTGTTTTTGGTTTTTCTTCACATGCCTTCTTACTCGTATATACTTTTAAATGTTCCATTTCTCCACCGTTTTCATATAATTTACTAATTCTTACAAAAAACTTATGCAATCTTCATATCATGCACAATAAAATTCAATAGAGCCTGTCGAAGAACGCGATACTTATAGAAATGAATACACATGTAAATAATATATACTATAAAGCAACTATAGGAAATTAAAGTTACAAACTAAGTTTTAAGCTTGTTCTTCATGTCTTTTGTGTTTGTTTGTTTGTTTAAAAGGAAGCGGCAGCTCGATTCTTTGAGTTTGCGAGTTGGATAAAAGAGAATTGAACGCTACTAAAATCTGTTTACCGTTATTCAACGGTAAAGTCAATGATACTAGAACTGAAAGTGCAAATTAAAACAAACTCGAATCTTTCAATCAAATTCCCTTACACTCGGCAGATATTTATCGCCTAGCATTACAATACAAATCATTTAAATTTCTCTTGTTTTTCCCATTCAATTCATATCAATTTCTTTCTTTTTTTTTCTGTTTCCATTGAAGTTATACATCAAAATTTTTTTGGTTTTTTTTTTAATGCTTTTGTAGCACATAAATATTTTGCATTATGACAAAAAAATTATGCTTTTTTATATGTATTGTATATATATAAACACTTATTAGAAGTCCTCTTGTGTCTGTTGGAGTGGGTTTCAATATGTATATGTATAGTCATTTAAAGAAAACATACTTTTCCTTTCTCTAGTTTGGTTATTTCTTATGTGTGTATGTGTGTGTGTGTGTGTAGGTATATTCTTTTTACCGTTAGCATAAATAGTAGTTGTGTGAAAACGTGCAGCAAAATTCTAAAACGTAAATGTGGCAAAGAGTGGTGCGGTGTATAAGAAAGTAACGGCAAATGTGTCATGTGTGTGTGTGTGTGTGTGTGTGTGTGTGTGTGTGTGTGTGTGTGTGTGTGTGTGTGTGTGGTGAGTGCTGCAAAACGCCGGCATATGGATAAATATCCTGTTGCTGTGTGAATAGGAAATTACGTATGTATTTATCTGCATCTTTTGTTTAGCTTAAGCTGTTTAGTCGATTACTTATTTCATTCTGCTTCCGTTTTCTTGAATTTTTTTTTATATTTTTTATTTTTGTTTGTTTAATATTTGTTTGCTTTGTTCGCATAATTTACACCAATTTAAGTTCAATATATATTTACTTTTTGTTTTTGTGTTACTTTGCTTATTTTGCTGATTAAAAAAAAAAATTAAGTTTAAAGAACATACATATTGCACACATATATAACGACAAGATGACAATTATCATGATATTTCATGGTTATTTAATAATTTACTTTACTCTTGGTTTTTTATTTATCTTTATTTGTTTATCATTTTCACACATTGAATGTCTGTTGTGGATGGATATTTATATTTTGTTTTCATTTTTATTCGTATCTGCTCAATTGATTTAACAATTGAGATACAAAAAACCAGAGCAAATTCAAAGCAAACCCAACTACATTTTAATAATAATACTGCTGCTGCCCAAAACGTTTCGAGAGAGACAACTTTACAAATTGCTCAAAATACGCACACACACAAATATGGAAATTAGTTCCAAATATCCAAATATCAATTCACATCCATTATTGCAGCACAGTTTTGTGGGTTTTCGTTTTTTATCTGTAGTTGGATTGCGCACAAAAAAACAATATGGTATTCAAAAAAATTTTCTTGTATTCTTTTTTTGTAGCTTGTTCGTTCGGTTGCAGTGGTGGTTGTTGCCTGTGCTATGTATGCCAGTGTATGGTGTCTGTGTGTGTGTGTGTCTTCTGTGTTTGTGTGTGTGTGTATCTGTGATTAGCTGCTCATTTATTGGTTGCTGCACATGCTAAGCCAAGACGCCAACCAGCGTGCAAAACCATTGGGCGCAAAATAAATAAATATAAAAAATCATAATTCAAAGAAAACAGATCAAAAATGCAATAAAATATGTGTGTTTTTTTTTAGGTTTTTTATGTTACAATTTTCCATGTTAAACAACTACAATTACAATTAGGCAATTTCTGTGTCCAAACTCGTAAATACTAAAGCAAAGCAGCAACAAAAAAAAAATCTTAATTGAAAAGAAAATTGTAGATAACTTAAATGGTACACGAAAAAAGGAGGAATTGGAATGGGGTCTCAAGGAAACTGACCAGATATAAAGATAGAAATTAAACAGCGTTGGTCCAACTGTTGCGTAAGTCGATTCATACAATGGTAATGCCTAGCAGTTGTATAAATGTGTGTATGTGTTCGTGTGTGTTTATGTGTGTGTGCCTATTGTATTATGTTTTATTTAGCTCCTACGACTTTGGGCGGCCTTCAAAGAAAAGCTGTACAGGTTGCGATAGCTACTGCAACAGCAACTGCTTCAGATGATGTCTGTCGGTGGAAGAGACGGCGGAGACGGCGGCTCTGGCGATTCAGCTGATGACGTCGCAAGATGCTGCTGCTGCTGTTGCTGCTGCTCCTGCTCCTGCTCCTGCTGCTCCTGCAGCTGCTGCTGATACTCAGCCTCCTCCATTTCGGCGCGTAGGCAACTGCTGCAACTGGTTGCATCGCTGTCCTCCACTATGGTGTCATTATCATCCTCTTCAACATTGTCATCTTGCTCTGGATCTGGATCCTGCTCATGTTCGTGTTCGTGTTCTTGTTCCTGCTCCTCCGCATACTCAACGTAATGTTGCATCACGTTTGGTAATGCCAGTTCCTCGAGATCCAGTTCCATGTCTTCAAATGACTCTTGTTGTTCTAACTGTTGTTGCTGCTGCTGTTCCATTAACTCCTCATCGTTGTCAACCGCTGATGTTGTTGCCTGCTGCAGCTGCTGATGCTGATGCTGCTGCTGCTGCTCCTGCTCCACCTCCTCGTCCTCCCCATGCTCCACTTCCATCTGCACATCTAAATCCCCTGTCTGTTGTTGCTGCTGCTGCCCCTCCCGCTGCGCTTCAGCAGCTGCAGCTGCAGCTGACGCTTCCTCTTGTTGTAAACGTTGCTGCTGCTGCTGCTGCTGTTGCTCCTCCAGCCTCCTGACCACCACTTCATCCGACTCGACAATACTTTAACCGCTCTTAAACAATAAAATGGCCACCTGGCCCAAATAAAAGTATATGAAATGGCGCGTCTCGTGTGTCACATACGATCCAAAGTTGCGGCCCACAATGCAATGCCATGTGGGATTGTATTTCTTGTCGAATTCCTTCTTGATATAAGCCGCAATATCCTGCAAAAAGAATAGAGAGCGACATATTAGTAATTGCTTCAAGTGGCTGCTATCAAACTAGGAAACAACTCTTAAAAACAGCAAAATCCAAAACCAACACAGAAAACCAACCGACCACCATTTCATCCTTCCAACAGCTTCACCCTTCCTCCGCTCGTAACGCACGCGGCAAGCCAAACCTGTGTGTGACCTCAAAAACTGGTTGGAAGGGGGGGTAGGCTTCGGGGCGAGGCGGGGTAAACGGGAAATACCAAAAAGTTTTCTGTGTTAATGAGTTAGTTGAGGTTGTTCTTGTTGTTGTTGTTGTTTACATTGCCTTTGGCTGGTTGGTTAGCAATATTCGGTGTAGCACACTTAGCAGCGCACAGTTTGAGCACCACTGGACCGACACACACACACACACACACAGATGTGTGAACTTGTGTAATTTCGAATGCAGCGGCAAATTGGCAAATGCCAAAGGTCATTGCCAGTCGTGTTGATGGCTAAAGCCAGGGTTACACAAACAGACGACACACGAACAGGCAAAAAAAAAAAAAAAAAATTGACAAAAGAGAAACAAGAGTGCTTCAGTCTAAAGCCCCCGACTGCAAGATACCCTGGACTGAGCGTCTAGCTGTCGTTACAAACATTCTAGCTTCCTTCTATACATACTCACACAAAAGTTTCTTGTACAACATCTTCCCTATGCCCCAGACTATGGACAAAGCGTTCTTGATTAACTTCGGTGTTTATAGTCCGATCACTATGAAATTTACAATGCTCAAAAATGGTTGATAAAAGTGCGAAAATACTAAGGCGCAAGGCTCTATCTTTAATGAAAAAGGTGTTATATTCCTAATCTGAATTCACAAAACGAGTTTTGTATCAATATTAATGTTAATCGATATTGTGAAAATGGGGTAAGATGTGGAAGATTATACATCTCATTTAAACTTCACACAGCAGGACAGACAGACACACAGACATGGCCACAACGAATCAGTTGCTTCTCGTGATCATTTATGGGTTCCTTTTCTTCTGCCTGTTACAAACATTTGCACACAACCATGATAACCCTTTCAACCATTGAACTAATGGTATAACGCGACCGATATTTAAAAAGTCTGTTGAAAGTATTTCGATTATTTTAAGCTTAGTTTAAAAAAGGCCGACAAAAACATAATATTATCTCGAATATTTACAAAATAAAACAAATAAGTTTACAAAATCGAATGATTCGTATTTCACAATAGAATGCGCCGGATACATCGAACATATTCACGTATGATAAAAAAAGACTCTGCTAACAACACGAATCAACCGTTTACAATAATTGAAAATAGATGAAAACTCAAAGAACTTAAAGCAATCGCCAAGTTTTCGCTTTTACAATAGTTGAGGGAACAGATTTGCGGGTTTAGCGAATGGGAAATTGTGGAAGAGAAGCGAGGAGACAAAACTTGACAACAAATGCGTCGTGCCAAGTTGTAAACTTAACCCAATGACCTCAAAAGGAAACCTAGAACAAAACAAATTCAAAAGGCTTTTGTGACAATGGTGAATGTTAAACCTAAACTGCCCCGCAAATACATATACCCTCCTCTGGCATGCCACCCATTCGAAGACATGATCGCTATAAAGTTATTTCTAAGTTTTCTTTAGTTTTGTTCTTGTTTTTGTTTTGTTGCTATTATATCGTGTCGTGTCAAACGACAATATTGCGTTGACTGTTTTATACATTCAATTGGGGCTCACTAAATACACGTCCAGGTGCACGGAAGGGCCCCAGAGAGGGTAGGGACTTAAAGGCCCCAGCAACGTCAAGCAATTTGTTTTGGCAACGCCAAAAAATTGAACACACACACAACTTGCTCGGCTTAGAGCAGCAAGCAAAGGTAGCACGTCCCACCATCAAAGTTATCCACACATGCAACACAATCTACCTGTGCCTAGACATACATATGTAGCTCCTACAAAATGCAGCTTGGAATTTTCGGGCACAAATAGCACAAATGTATTAAGACTTAACAGTCATATCAAGTATTCAAAATGATGAAAAACAGACTCTTCGTGAGAATAGCTACAAGCTTTCAAATTCTCCGTACATATCTGCAAAAATATACACATATCACATATCATTGCCCTGCTATTTTAAGTATTATTTGTTTTATTCTGAAGTCAATCGCAACAAAATGTTCCGCTGAAAGCTTTAGACTATTTGCCCATTATATCATTAATAGATTTAACAATATCGTATCGTATCGGTTGGTTTCCAAAGTCTGGCCAAAAACACTCTGCGCTATATAAGAACAATATTTATTTATATATATTCAAAGGATGTCGAGCTGAGTGGAGCAGCGCCTGCCTGCCAGGCGTACGGGTGAGCGAGGGGGGACTTCACGGATATATTTGGCCGCATATTGATTAAACATTTGGCCACGCAAAATGTTTTACCCCAACCAGCAATCCAATATATTCGGCGACACACAAAAATAAATCAAGCAGAAATCATCATAAATGAATTGCAGGTAATGGAAAAGAAAATGGAAAAATAAATATTAAAAAAAAAAAAAACTAATTAAATTTATTTTTAAATAAGCCAAACGCAAACGATGCGGAAAAATTGATTTAATTTGGCTTAGTTCGTTTGGTTTTTGCTGGTTTGTTTGCTTTGTTAGCCTCGCTCTGGCTTATTTTGGGGATTTTGTCTTTAAATCGCTGCCACAGCCAAGGCAAAGCACACGAACACACCGCCCCCCCCCCCCCCCCCCCCACACACACACAAGCAGAAGCACCCCCCTCCCCCCACCACCCTTTGACAGATAGAACTTAAGCCGCTCGAAAGGTTGAGCGGCCCTAAAAATATATACATATAAAGCACATAATTTGCTCTGCTCTGCCGTGTGTATGTATTCGGTGCGTGTGTGCGAGTGTGTGTGTGTGTGTGCCCATTTACCCCTTGTGTAATGGTGTGCTAGTTGCGTATCTATTGGATACCAAGTTATTGCTTTTTTGTGTTTGCCACTTTGTTGGCCTTTTGTTCAAATAAAATGCATTTTCGCTTAATAAAATTAAGGTAAGGAGGTTATAAAGATTTTCCCTTGTGTCAATCAATCAAATTAAGATTAAAAAACCATGATAAGAGAGAAGGACAATTATTCAATTGAACTTTGAAAACTTGTTAATGATAATTGATTAATATTGAACACATTATTTATATAAAAACAAGTAAGAGGTTCTAGTCGGGAGCTCCCGACTAGGGGATACCCTGAACCCTCTTCTTCCAACATCAAATGCATATACATATTCTATTTTAGGAGCTATATGTCAAGTTTGGTGACTCTAGCTCCTATTATTTACCAAAATTGCCCAAAAAACAGGATATCGATAAAGATTTTTATCGATTGCTTGGAAACGGAGTAAGTTATCGATTATCGGAAAAAACTCGATCTGCGCGGGAGCCAGGAGCATCTTCATCTAAAATTTCCCTAGCTCATATAGGTTCTGAGATCCTTGCGTTCATACATACGGAAGGACGGACGGACGGACAGACAGACAGACGGACATGGCTAGATCGATTCAGCTATTTATACTGATCAAGAATATATATACTTTATGGGGTCGGAGTTGCTTCCTTCTGCCTGTTACATACATTTGGCTTTCGCACAAATACAATATACCCTTATATCCATTTTTAATGGGTTCAGGGTATAAAAAGCCAAACTTCGAGAAAATCGGATGAGATTTGGCCGAGATATGGGGATAGTACATTTTGACCCATGTCTATATACGAATCTTGGGGTAAGATTTGGACATGAATTCGACTAAAAATCGATGTCGAGATTTGAATGCCACATTAATCTAGAGGGAAACCCATGAAGAAAAAGCCAAACTTCGTGAAAATCGGATGAGATTTGGCCGAGATATGGGGGTGGTACATTTTGACCCATGTCTATATACGAATCTTGGGGTAAGATTTGGACATGAATTTCGACCAAAAAATCGGTGTCGAGATTTGAATGCCACATTAATCTAGAGGGAAAACCATGAAGAAAAAGCCAAACTTCGTGAAAATCGGATGAGATTTGACCGAGTTATGAGGGTGGTACATTTTTACCCATGTCTATATACTAATCTTGGGGTAAGATTTGGACATGCATTTCGACTAAAAATCGGTGGCGAGATTTGAATGCCAGATTAATCTAGGGGGAAAACCATGAAGAAAAAGCTAAACTTCGTGAAAATCGGATGAGATTTGACCGAGTTATGGGGGTGGTACATTTTGACCCATGTCTATATACGAATCTTTGGGTAAGATTTGGACATGAATTCGACTAAAAATAGATGTTCAGATTTGAATGCCAGATTAATCTAGAGGGAAAACCATGAAGAAAAAGGCAAACTTCGGGAAAATCGGATGAGATTTGGCCGAGATATGGGGGTGGTACATTTTGACCCATGTCTATATACGAATCTTGGGGTAAGATTTGGACATGCATTTCGACCAAAAAATCGGTGTTCAGATTTGAATGCCAGATTAATCTAGAGGGAAAACCATCAAGAAAAAGCCAAACTTCGTGAAAATCGGATGAGATTTGACCGAGTTATGGGGGTGGTAAATTTTGACCCATGTCTATATACGAATCTTGGGGTAAGATTTGGACATGAATTCGACTAAAAATCGATGTTCAGATTTGAATGCCAGATTAATCTAGAGGGAAAACCATGAAGAAAAAGCCACACTTCGAGAAAATCGGATGAGATTTGGCCGAGATATGGGGGTGATACATTTTGACCCATGTCTATATACGAATCTTGGGGTAAGATTTGGACATGAATTTCGACCAAAAAATCGGTGTCGAGATTTGAATGCCACATTAATCTAGAGGGAAAACCATGAAGAAAAAGCCAAACTTCGTGAAAATCGGATGAGATTTGGCCGAGATATGGGGGTGGTACATTTTGACCCATGTCTATATACGAATATTGGGGTAAGATTTGGACATGAATTTCGACCA